ACACACACACACACACACACACACACATATAACCCTGAACTGCAACAAATGGCTATTTATGAACATTTTACATGGATGCCTTTACCCACCTTTAAGGTAAAATTTTTCCAGAGGAGCACTGCAAATTGGTTGAATGTCAACAAATCCATTCTCTAGGGGTAGAGGAAAGGTTTTATAATATTAAGTTACCTAATAATGTGAACATCAAATAACAGAATTACTTCTTTCTCCTAATTTTCTTCTTAATCAGCCTCAAATATCGATAGCAAGAATGATTACATATTTGAAATAAAGAAAATCATACTGTTTCCATTTTTATATTAGTTTAACTAATATCTAATGAGGTTCTAATATGTATAACATATAAGTAAGATGTGGTTCCATTTCTCCAAATGGTTATATGCCTGTGGGTATGAGGGCTGAATCCTAATTCTTTCATAAAATGATGGTGAGAATGGTTTCACAATGATTTAGCCAAGTAAAACATGTATGTACATGCAGTAAGGAAAATTTCCATGAATACACTTACAATAACTATTTTTATATACAAAAAACCTAAAAACAACCTGAAAGTCAACAATGTAATGGAAACTGCAGTATATTCATACAACAGAATATTGAAAATCAATGACAGGGATGAACTACAATTAAACACAGTGTAAATAAACACCCCAATATAGTACTGACCAATGAAAGTCAAGTCCAAGAAGAATATGTTCATTAAGTTCTCATTTAGCTAAAGTTCAAAAGGTAAAACTTCAGCACATAGTGATTAAGAATACATTTACAGGGGGCACCTCGGTGGCTCAATCAGTTGAGCGTCCAACTCTTGGTTTCGGCTCAGGTCATGATCTCAGGATCTTGGGATTGAGCCCTGAATTGGGCCCCGTGCTCAGCGGGGAGTCTGCTTGAGATCCTCTCTCTCCCTCTCCCTCTGCCCCTCCCCTCGTTCACTCACTCTAATAAATAAATCAATCTTAAAGAAAAGAATATATTCATAGGAAGTACACTGAAACAAGGAAAGGATTATCATAAATATCAGTATACCTATAGACTGTTTGGAGAGAGGCTTATAAGTGGCTTTAAATTTCTGGAAATGGGAGGAAGAAAAGATGGCGGAGGAGTAGGGGACCATATTTGAAGTGGTCCCCAGAATTGAGCTGGGTATCTCCCAGACCACTCTGAGCCCATGAAATCAGCCTTAGATGTAAGAAGATCTGGATCTCTACAAACAGAATATCGCAGGTGGTTGGTTTCGAGGTATGAAACAGGGAGCCTTGATCCTGCGGGCAGATATCAAGGATAAATGGCAGCGGGAGGGAGCCTGGCTGTGGGGATCCTACACCGCCGGTGAGGGACAGCCTCGCGCGCTGGGGACGGGGCACAGACTCGTAGACCAGCAGTGGCGGGGAAAGGACTTTAGGGCAGCCCCTGGGGCTGAAACCCGGAGCGGTGGGGTCGCGCGTATGAACTGGGAGCGGCTGGCAGTTTTAGAAGCACAAAGGGCAGAGACATGCCCCAACCTGGAGGCAGGACTGGGAGTGCTGCGGAGGGGCGCACAACCCAGGATGCTGCAGTTTATAGCAGCACAGACAGAAATGGGGACAGTGTGGCCTGGAGAGCTCACTGAAGAACAGACTGCAATCTCTCTGCTGTGAGGCAGAGGGTTGGAAACGGTCTCTTCTGCTCTCTCGGAAGAGACGTGGAAAGCCACCAGGGAAAGCCGACAGAGAACAAAAGCCCCCCAAAAACGGATTCCCACTGAGCCCATCCCCTGCCACAGGGGTCAGGGCAACTCACCCAAACAGGGTTGCCTGAGTAACAGCACGGCAGGCCCCTCCCCCAGAAGACAGGCTGGGAAAACAAGAGACCAGCAACCCTAAGGTCCCTAGAAAACAGGTGCATCTTGCTTGGGTCTGGTCAATAATTTGGACTCTATACATTCCCTCAACCACCCATCAACAGAATGACTAGGAGGAGGAACCTCCCAAATAGAAAAGACTCAGACATTATAACTTATGGCGCAGATTTACAAATGGATGCAGATATAACCAAAATGTCGGAGATGGAATTCAGGCTAACAATTGTGAAGACAATAGCTAGAATGGAGAAATCAATGGCAACTTGGGTCTCTAAGGGCAGAAAGCTGAATTGGCAGAACTTAAAAATGTTATCAATGAGATCCAACCCAATCTAGACAATCTAACAGCTAGGGTAAGTGAGGAGGAAGAACGAATAAGCGACCTGGAAGACAATTTAATAGATAAAAAGGGAAAAGAGGAGGCCAGGGAAAAAAAACTCAGAATCCATGAAAATAGAATCAGAGAAATAACTGACACCATAAAGCATTCCAATGTCAGAATAATTGGAATCCCGGAGGGAGTGGAGAGAGAGAGAGGACTAGAAGATGTATTTGAGCAAATCGTAGCTGAGAACTTCCCTAATCTGAGGAATGAAACAAACATTCGAGTCCTAGAGGCAGAGAGGACCCCTCCTAAGATCAAGGAAAACAGGCCAACACCTCGGCATGTAATAGTAAAACTCGCAAATCTTAGAACCAAGGAAACTATCTTAAGGGCAGTTAGGGGAAGAGATTCCTTACGTACAAAGGGAGGAACATCAGAATAACGTCAGACCTATCCACAGAGACCTGGT